TTCTCCTTCTGCCTCTGCTACTCTCCCTGCTTGTGCTTTTTCTCTCCCTCTCTTTCTCTCTCTCAAATAAAATCTTAAAAAAAAAAAAAAACACAGCCACAGGACTATTACACTTAAGGAAAAAAGCAATATTTTCTTTTCTAAAAAATTTTTAATTTTTCTAATTAGGCTCCATGCCCAAGATGGGGCTCAAACTCATGACCCCAAGATCAAGAGTCGCACGCTCTCCTGACTGAGCCAGCCAGGTGCCCCGCAATATTTTCTTAATATCAAATAGCCAGTGTTCAAATTTTTAACTGTCTTATAAATGTCATCATTGTTTCTTTACATTTTTTACTTGAATCAAGATGCAAGTTAAAATAGGCCTACACATTGCAGTTGGTTAATATGTCTTTTGAGTCTCTTTTAATCTATAGGTTCCCCCTTTATCTTTTCTCCTTTTTTTCTTAAAATGTATATATTGAAGAAGCTGAACTGTTTGTCCCGCAGAATTTCCCAAATCTGGAGTTTGCTGCCTGCACACCCCTGATGTAATCTAGCATGTTCTCTCCTCTGTGTGTTTCTGTACATTGGTGGTTGGAGGTAGCAGCATGATCAGGTTTGGGTCAGTTTTTCGTGTTTGTTTTTGGTTGGGGGAAGCCCCCCGAGCGGCCCACCCACCGTTGTATCTTTTGAAAGCTGCATCAGAGCCAGCTGGAGCTCCAGGAGGCGCGGCTCTCCTCCCGGCAGCTGCAGGTGAAGGTGGAAGAGCTCACCGAGGAGAGGAGCCTGCACAGCTCCGCTACCACCAGCACGTCTCTCCTGTCCGAGATAGAGCAGAGCATGGAGGCTGAGGAGCTGGAGCAAGAGAGAGAGCAGGTGTTGATGTCCTGTCCCTCTGGCATGCGAGGTTGCCCAAGGGTTGCGGGGGCGGGCCCTGGACTGCGGGAGCTTGTCCGTCTCCTTGTGGCCCCAGTGCCTATAGCGTTTCAGCTTCCTCCTGGCGAGGGCCTGTGGCCCTGCACCTGCGGAAGCCTACGCCTGCTGGCCAGAGCCACCGGGAAGCAGGCCCTGCCCAAAGCCTGTCCCGGGCTCACTGTTGCCCCAGTGCCTCTTAGGAGATGCTTATTGGCTCATCCTCAGCCTCATACCTCTTATACTGACTGGGCTCAAGAACACTCACAAGACATCCAATGGCTTGTTTTCATACTACTCCTAACCACTTACTCCCCTAATCCTGACTCCTATCAAAGTAACCAACTATATAAAAATGGCTTCTATGACCGTTGGGAGGGGAGTAGAGGGCTGGAGCCTCGATAGATGTACTGGGCCCAGAATAAGGACCAGTATTTCTTGGACAGGTGATTTAAAAAAGAAAAACTCTTTCTCTTAAAACTGGTCTCTTGAGTGTCAGTATGTTGGGTTCCTACACTAGAAAAAGATGAGCGGGTGGCAGCCTTCTCTAGGGTCCGTAATCAAGAATGGTTCTTTGTGGAGCAGCTAAGACTGCAGCTCTGGGAGGCCTACTGCCAGGTTCGCTACCTCTGCTCTCACCTCCGAGGGAACGACAGTGCCGACTCGGCCGTCTCCACGGACTCCTCGATGGACGAGTCTTCAGAAACTTCATCCGCCAAGGATGTGCCGGCTGGCAGCTTGCGCACGGCCCTGAGCGAGCTCAAGAGGCTGATACAGAGCATCGTGGATGGCATGGAGCCCACGGTAAGTGGCCAGGCCGAGAAGCTCCTCACCCCACACAACCTGGCTGGTGGGAGGCTAAAAGCAAGTGCGGGGGACGAGGTTAACCTGGGAAAGGCAACTTGTGGAGTCTGTGAGAACGTCGTCTGAGCCCTTATTGTCTGAGAGCACCATATACTGGTGACCGGGCAGAGGGACAGTGTCAGGGAATGGAAGTTCCAAAGTCATCTTCCCGAAGACACTGGCGTACAAGTGGAGTCCTTTCTCCATGTGGTTAAGTCCAGGCCATGGTGGCCTCGAGGTCAAGGACTTTCCTAAGAAGCTTTGAATATAGAAATTTGGATCTAGGTGCAAACTGCATTTTTCTGTAGCTCATTGGTCCTGGTGGTGGAGTTAGCTGCAAATAGGCAAACTTGAAAGATCTGAAGCTTCTGCTAAAATGATATGAGCACAGAAAGTTGAGAAGATCAACAAGGGCTTTTTAGAATTCCAGATGTGGCTCCCCTTGTGGAGGAGAATGTTCCTGTGGGCTTCCTGGGCAGATGGGCATCTCTTCCAGCTCCGTGACCAATTTCTGCCAGACTTCCTCTCTGTTCGCAACCCCGGCTGGCAGGCAGTTGTTTGTCTTCAGGGCCCGTCCTCCTACAGAATAGCTACCATCTTTCTACCCATATTAAATGAAGTCCTGTGAGAGGGTGGTTGTCCTTACCTGAACATGCCGCGTGGATTTGTGGAATGTGCTGTAGTCGTGGGGGATTGGAGCTGTCAGAGTGAGGTGTGCTGTTCACGCCACGAGACTTCCGTCCCCTAAAGCCTGAAACAAAAATAAACGTCTAGCTAATGTTTGCAGATCCAAATTGGGCGAGAGAATCTCTCTCCTCTAACCCTTTCTTTCTTCCCTACTGTGTCTCTCCTCTTTCTCTCCCTTTCTTTCCCTCCGCCTCCCCGCCCCCATCTCCTCTATCCTGCTCTCCAAACTGACCCATCTCTACTCCCTCCCTGTACCTCCCCTCTCCCTCTTTCCCACTAACCATCTCACCACACCCACCCCTGCTTGCACCATCTCTCCGGTTGGTGGCTTTCTCTTTTGCTGTCAGAGCTCCCGGAGAATTGACGATGACTCCTTAGAAGAACAGATAAGGCAGACCAGTGAGGACTCGAGAGCCCTAAGGGAACTCATGGAGGGAGAGAGGGGTAAACTGAGGCAAAGCCTAGAGGAGCTACAGCAACTCCACAGTCAGGTGAGCACCCCAATCCTCAGTCCCGAGCAGGGAACGTGCATGTGCCCCCCAAGGTCTCTTGGGACCCTCATGAGTTTCCCTCTCCCGTGTCTATTTGAGAAGTGGCTCTCCTCTGACAGATCCTCAGAGGACGGTGACCTGAAGTTGAGGTAAGCTGGGCATCTTCAAGAGAAGAAGCCAACCCTCTGGTTTAGCCCAAAGTAAAATTGATAGGGATAAGAATAGCTGACCCTCCATTTCCTCCAGTGACATGCTGCCTTCCACAGAGCCCAGATTATCCAGCAGCTTCTGACAGTTTAAAGTGCCTTAGCTCTCAGGACATTCTCGGATGTTTTTCCAGCAGCTTCTGAGCAGGGAAGTTTGCAAACCAAGAAGCAATTGATCTTTGTAGGCCTATTCTCTCTTTGTAATGCCATCACCTCTGCCAGCCTGATTTTCAGCTTTAGAAGCACTTACTGCTACTCTTGCTGTTCCATTCCTGTTTGATCATGATTTCATCTCTCTCGAGAATCCTGGAAAAGGGCATCTATATTCTGATCTGAAAAGTTCTAAAGGGCTTAGGAGCAGCCCCCACCCAGAAAAGAGCTTCTAAATTCTGTCTTAGGAAATAGGTAAGGCACTTCCTTTTGACAAGGGCCATGTGTAGTGTTCTGTCCCACTTGCGGGGGACACCAAACAGGTAGGGTTTTAAACCCTGCCCCCACCCAGCCTGCCCCCTTCCTCCCTCGTCCGGAGCTGGTCATCCCTTCCTGCTGCACCAGATCGCTGAGAGATGGAAGTTAAGCCTGGCTTTTGCTTCAGTCAGTATTTCTTAAATTTAAAGGACCTTATAGAAATAAACCCCTTTTAGGGGTCATGCCCATTAGACATTCTAATACAATTCTCTTGAAAGATACTGGGAAACCCTCCTGCAGCTGTTGCTGTACTCTTCTTTCTGGGAGTGACCAGATAGTGAGGACAGAAAGGTGCTATTGAAAGCTGTAGCTTGTTTCTGACCAAGCCCTGAAGAATGGGATTGGGCAGCCAAAGACATCGTCATTCCCAAAGCCAAAGTCCCTCAGGCGGTCGTTTGGCCAGGGAGTAGTTCAGACACCAGCACAGGTCTTCAAACTGTAAGAATCAAAACAGGACAAAGTGTATCTAAAAGTTCTTTGGGTTAATAAAAATTTATTTACTTTAAAGCCTAGATTTTTGTGGGGGTGCTTCTTATCAGCTCTTTGATACTGGCTGGTTTGTTTTGTTGCTTCTCAGGATAGCAGAACTAGAAACAGCAGAGGGCATCATTGAGAAACAGGAGCAAGGCACACGTTGCTGAGGGTCTGGACGCAGCTCTTTCGGAGCCTGTTTCCACAGGGGATTCTCCTGAAAAGTTCAGCTGATAAGTGGTTTATGCCAGTTCATGTGCATTCCCTCTCAGCTCATTAAGGAAATAGTTCTGCTCAGTCCCATGGAGCATAGAACTGGGCCTCTTGAGTGGGTCATCTCTTCCCAAAAGCTTAGACAAGGCAGCAGATCTCTCAGCCAAACTACATCCATCGAAAACCATCCCGCAGGAGTAACCCTGACCTCCCAAGGCAGTGGGTAGGACGCAGATTGAATTGCAGCATGCCGGTGGAGATGGTGGCCCTTGGAGCAGGCCCAGCATTCCTCATGCAGTTCATGCTGCAGCGCCTGAGCACTCCCCGTCCGCCTGCGCCGTACTACACTGGTCCCTGAGACGCTCAGGATGGATGTGACTGCGCCCTTGTGCTCCACAACCTCTCCTAGAACTGTGAGGCGAGTCCCCGACTAGCTCTGTACCCTCTGGGGTGGGGAGCGGGGGCGGGGGGTGCGGGGAGGAAGGGCAGAGCCCAGACAAGGTTATGTGAAACCGAAGTTCCAGCAGATAGCTCCTAGACGAGTGCAGCCTCATCCAGAGGATGATCCAGCCTCCAAGCCCACTGCTTTCCTACCCAAGAGTGTTCTTTTTTTCTCTTGGAAACTGAGCCACAGGTAAAAGGTGTGGGACCTGGAAGGTGAAGTGACCAGCCCCTCAGAAGCCTATCCGAATTTTTAAATAAAAGAGAGCCCAGGTTTAATTTTAATTGATACTTATGTTTGAGACAAGAATCTAAAACCAGACCTGAAGACCACCCCACACCCTTATGCCATGGAGAGCCCCCTCTCAGTCCCCACAGCTTTGCAGACTCCTGCTCCCTCCTGGTCAGGACTCACTGGGGTCTGGATCCGCTGCTGGGAGGCAGGGAGGATGTTCCAAGCAATAGGAAAACCAGTTATCTGGGGAGCCCTCTACCAATTCCCAGGCCAGTAAACCAGGCTATGGGAAGTACAGTGAGAAATAGAACCAGGCCTGGGGAGCACGGGGGGCTCAGGCGGTTAAGCGGCCGACTCTTGATTTTGGCTTACATCATGATCTCAGGGTCCTGGGATGGAGCCTCACGTCGGGCTCCCTGCTCTTCGGGGAGCCTGCTTCTCCCTCTCCCTCCCTCTCTGCTCCTCCCCCTGCTCATATGTGCTCTTTCTCTCTCTCAAATAAATAGTATTAATTTATTTATAAATAAATCTTAAAAAAGAAAGAAAGAAACGAACAAATAGTCCCAGTCCTGTGTTTGATTTCTTTATAGGGCTTGACTGCAGCACTAGCCAGTTACCCCCAAGGGGCATGACAGCACAGCGGAGCAGATACTGGGAACACGGAAGGCCTTCACTGAGGAAATCTTGGTGACTCCTCCTGGGTGAAATTTCACTGTGTTCTCTTTTCTCCGGCTTCCTAGCCATTGCCCTATTTCAGACCTTCATTCTTTCACTCTGTGGCTCTGGTCATCACTCCCCCCAGCCCACTTACCCCCACATGATTTGGATTGATCTTCCTGAAGCACGGCTTGAAACAGAACACCCTTACAAGTTCTGGATTGACTTCCTCTTGTCACATGACAGGAAGCCTCGAACTCTCGTGGCCCTACAGACGGGCTGCATGCCAGCCATCCAGCCTTCTTCCCTGTTGTTGGCATCTCCCCTCCTTTGCTTTAGTCAATTGAACATAGACTATGAAAGGGCATGGCGCACACTCCCCGTGCTTCCCCACATCCGGGCCTTTTCTCCGGCCCTTTGCCTCTGCCCAGCAGACTCTCCCCGGCCACCTGCATGTATCGGCCGTACTCATCCTTCAAGCTTCACTTCTTCCTTCAGACTCTTGATTCCCTTCCTCCTGGAGCCCCCAGCCCTGCTTTGTCATGGTTACACTCACTCACATCTCATCTTCCGAGTTAAACTTTAGACCTCCACGAGGACAAGCTTGAGGTCCGACTTCTCTTTGTCTTCTCTTAAAGCATCTAGCACAGGGCTTACCTAGAGTAGGCACAAAAATAATTACCAAAAAAAAAAAAAAAAAAAAGGGCGCCTGGGTGTCTCAGTCGTTAAGCGTCTGCCTCCGGCTCAGGTCATGATCCCAGGGTCCTGGAATCGAGTCCCACATCGGGCTCCCTGCTCAGCGGGAAGCCTGCTTCTCCCTCTCCCACTCGCCCTGCTTGTGTTCCTACTCTCGCTATCTCTCTCTCTGTCAAATAAATAAATAAATAAAATCTTTAAAAAAAAAAAAATTACCAAATGAAAGGGCAAAGAAAGCCCTTGAAGCCTATGACTTCAAGATGTTTTCTTTGATCCTATTCAATCATGAGGACACCTACTTTATGTGGGAAAAGTGGATTTAGGGGTGGCTGCAACCTAAGTCAGTGTATAAACAGGCCGGGCCAGTCCTCATGACAGCCCCAGCCATAGGTCCGCACTGGTGCAGAGAAGAGAAAGGAGCAGAGTTTGCCCCCAGGCGCCAGGCACTGAGCTCTGTCCTTGATGTCAGTTACCTTATTTGAGCCTAACAACAACTTGATGGTGGGAACGAGTTATTTTTATTCCTGCTTTTTATGAAAAGTATATGCAGTTCAAAGAAGGTAAGTCCCTTGTCACTTCTAACGCAGATAGCTGATGGTCTCTACCTTGACCAAGTTTTCCAGACCAAAGCAAAAAGTTCTTACAGAGTTTTTTTCTGGAGCCTATTAAATGTTGGCATTTCCTGCCTGGCATGTGGTTTTATCTGCAGCTTACTCAGCTGGCAAAACCCTTGTCTGGCACACAGCCAGCCCGGGGCCGTGTTAGGGCTGATTTGGTCGGAGGAGGTCTGGCTTTCTCTCTGCCAGGTATTTTCTGGGTCTTGAGTTTCTGGCCTACCAGGCTATAGAACCTGCTATTAAGTAGGGTGAGGCTGGGTTTCTCACCTGCTGCCTGCTTGCCTCAGGACTAGCTATACCCTGTGGCCTCTGCAGGAGCCCCAGCCTGTTCTTCCCTGTGGCTCGGAGCCCTGTCACCGCAGCTGTCCCCACCATGAAAGCACAGAGCACCTGGTCCTGATGTGTCCTACCAGGCGCCTAAGAGTACGAAATCCATTGCCCCCAGTAACAACAGATTGTCCTGTATGCCTCTTCATTGTGGAGCGTCCTCTGATTTCTTCCTGAGTGCCTCTACCCCAGGAGCTGGCAACTCTGATGTCTAGTCTGGGGAGTCCGAAGCATTTTCAGGGAAGCCTGATCTTCAGCCTTGCTCCTGGGGTCTTTGCTCAATTTCAGTCAGTCTGAAGATGTTTAGGCCTGGAATTTGAGTCGGGGAGTACACTGAAAGGTGGCGTCTATCCCCTTGTGGGAAGGCTAGACCTGTATGGATGTATCCTCCCTTGGAAAAATGTCCAAGTATGTGTAATATTTAACAAAAGGGCAGGGCCGGTCATGCTGACTCCAGTCTGAGCCTACTGACTGAGAAGGGGGTCCCACCCTTCCATTCATTGAACAAATATTTACTGAAAGTTCTACCAAGCAGGGTTTCTGGTTGCAAACAACAGAAACTCTCTCTGCTTAACTTGAGAGAGACTGTATTGGAATTAAATCTGATCACTAACAGAATCAACAGGAAGGCTGGAAAATCAAGCTCCGAAGCAGAAAGGAGCCATGGGAAGTGGGGCCACAGAAGCAATCTGCCGTCAGTGTAATAATTTCCCCCTGGCCTGTGGCTTTGCTGAACCCTCAAGAACTGCAGTCCCAGGGGCGCCTGGGTGGCTCAGTTGGTTAAGCGACTGCCTTCGGCTCAGGTCATGGTCCTGGAGTCCCGGGATCGAGTCCCGCATCGGGCTCCCTGCTCGGCAGGGAGTCTGCTTCTCCCTCTGACCCTCCTCCCTCTCATGCTCTCTGTCTTTCATTCTCTCTCAAATAAATAAATAAAATCTTTAAAAAAAAAAAAAAAAACTGCAGTCCCAGGTAGGGGGGTGTGACTGGCACATCTAGGTCACCTTTCCATGCCTCTGTGCTTAAGAAAGGATATAGGTCTCTCCCCTTTGGCTTACTTAGTGGGAGGGCATCCCCTGTTTCCCACCAAGACTCATGCAACCAGGAATGTCCCCCAAATAGGAAAGCATTTGGGATGATGACTAGCCAAAAAAAGACAACTGTCTACTGCACAAGCATTTGGGAATTAAGCATCATATAGTCAGGCTCTGAAATGCACAGATGAGTAAGGCACACTTCCTGCCATTGCAGAGCTCTTGGTGTACAGAGGGTTCCTATACGAAGGGTGGGGTAAGCTGCGGTCACATTAGGTGCCATTAGGAAGGGCAACCTACCACCAAGGGATGGCCCCCAATGAATGGGCTGTGGGACCATTCACTGAGGCATGGCCCACAGAAAAGGTAACAGGCCTGAAGTGAAAGATGATATTACGTGGGTGTCTGAATTCCATATGGCTTTGACCAGGGAAGCTGAGTGACCAGGTTGCACCAAGTACTGTCACAGAAGTGGGAGCCAGGGCCCTGCGGATAGCAGCGTTCCATGCTGAGTGGAAGATGGCTGGAAACAGAACTTGAGTCCCTACCCTTAACCATGTGTTTCAGAGCCCTGATGCATGTGTGGTCTTCATTAGTTGCTCACGAGTGCCTTGAAATGGAGGTGGTGGTGTGGGGTGCTCCGTCCAAAGGGGATCTGAGCCCTGTGGCTGCCATCCGGGGCTGGATTTCATCCCCGCCCGTGGGCTCCAGCCTAGCATGTGGCATCCTTCCTACAGAAGAGATGGGCATCTCTTAGAGCCAGGGGCCTCGGGAAGCTACGGGCACCTGCCTGGGGCTGCTTGTTCCTTTCTGCCTCTTTAAGGGCGTGCCCCCAGGCCAGCAGCAGTGGCAGCCCCCCGTTCATCCCTGTGGTCTCCCATCAGGTGACGTTGCTGAGTGTCGAGATGACTGCCCTGAAGGAGGAGAGAGACCGACTCAGAGTGACGTCCGAGGCCAAGGAGCCAAAGGAGCAGCTTCAGAAGGCCGTCCGGGACCGCGACGAGGCTATTGCAAAGTGAGTGGGCAGGGCTTGTCGAAGCTGACTGTCGTCACAGCAACATGAATGTGTGCTCAGTTTTAAAAGTGAAACCCTACAGAAGACGACAAAAGTGAAAGTGTTTCCCTGCTGCCCACCCTCACCCCCAGTCTGGTTCTTCTCCTCAGACAGACGCTACTTACTGGTGGAGGTCGGGGGTGTGTTCCCTGCAGATCTTTTTCCTGTGCGTGTGCAGTACATGTAATACAGTTGTATCAGTGGGATGGTGCTCTATGTGTCTTGTATATCTTAGCTTTCTGTCTCAGCTTTTCGATTTCATTATATAGATCTACCTCAACTTCTTTATTTTTAGGGGTTTTTAGGGGAGTTGTTGTTACTTTTTATTATGGACATTTTCAAGCATACACAAAAGTAGAAAAAAAATAAGATGAATCCCTACCTACCTGTCTTCTGGTTTCAACCCTAATCAGCATATGGCTGACTGTTTCATCTATATCCCCACCTACCTCGTCCCCGTCCCCGCTGGATTGTATGGAAGCAAATCACAAGATCCCTCATCTCATCCATAAACACTTCAGTATAGATTCTACCAGATAAAGACTCTTTCTGGAAAACACACAACCACAATACAGTTGTCACACTTGAAAAAACTTAGAGTAATTTCTTAATATCATATAGTAACCAGCTGGCCCATAAATGTCTTTTTATGATTGATTAGAATCAGCCTCCAAAGTCCACAAACCCCATTTAGTTGATATGTACGTAAGTGCCCTCCATCTTTTTTTCCATATTGCATTTATTTATCGAAGAAACTGATCATTTGTCTCCTAGAGTTTTTCTACATTCTGGGTTTGATGCATCCTCAGAGTGTCATTCAACAGTTTTCTCTCACCTGCGTTCCTAGTAAGCTGGGTCATATTTTAATAATGTTTTGGGTTTTCTTTAACAGAGAAGAAATGCATTCTCTTATATTCAAAAAATTTGGAAGTGCATAGGCAAAAAAACATACGTACATATTCCCCATCCCCCTTCAAATGATTTCCTTATCATGCATTCAATCTACCCTCTTCACTGTGAGGAGATAAAAGTTACTGAACATGTTGTCTGCTCATGAGGCACTTCGCAGCACGCTCATAACATCTGTGTCACTTTACCGCTTAGAAACACTTCATCCTTTAATCCTCCCAGCCACAGCAAGAAGTAAAAGTTTTAATCCCAATTTTTACAGATGAGGAAACTGAGATACTTTCCCCAGTTCCACAGCCAGTGGTGATCACGCCTCCACCTCAGGTCTCTTGACCCCTGTCCCCACATCCTTTCCCCTTACCGCACAGGCTGCTTGTCAGCAAACTAAAAGGAGCCCATTTGAAACAAATTGTAAATAGATACTATATACCTTTTTAAAAAGTAATAGGACACATTTTAATTTCTGACTTTAAAATGCCGCACACCTTTCCCCTTCTCACTTCCACACACACTTGTCCGCTCCCTTCTGTTCTAATCATTTCATCATCTCCATTAGTTTTACCTTTGGGTCCCCTTTCCTGTCTGGCCAGGACCTTCTGTGAAGCTGACAATTTCCAGTTCATTTAGGAAGTATACTCAGTGAGGCTCACAAACCTATGCATCTCTGCCACTGGATTCCTGGTGAATATTTGCTTCATTAGCGAATACTTGAATGGCACTGTAATATTTTGGAGTGGGAGCATACTTTCATGAATAACAAAGGGTGAAATTGTGTCATACAATTAGGGAATAAAAATGGTAAAATTAAAGTGCTAATTGTGGAAGCCTGTTGGGAATAAAAAGCAGAATGAAGTTAGCTGTCTCTCAGCTGGACAAGCATACGAGAGCTGAACATCAAGCTCTGACCATTTTCTGCCATCAGCACAGGAGGTGGGAGATACAACCAGAGAACGTACCAGGGTGCAGGAGAGAAGAAGCAGCAGAAGTTGTCTAGTCCCTTCCCTTAAAATAATTGGAACCTAGCTCTGACATCTGGGGGACCAAGGAGGCCAGCAAGTCTCCATGAAACCTTGAAATGCAGGCCTTTGCCTTCTGCCAAAGGAGGCCCAGTGAACCTCCTGGTGTCTGACTGAGCTGATGGGCAGACTCTCCTCTGTGAGTACTCAGAATTCTGCAGAGAAACCCTTGTCCTTCATGGACCCTACAAAGTAAGGCTGGTGCTGAGGGAAGGGGTTAGATCACTCCAGCACAGGTTAGCTCTTTTTCTGTCCCTTAGAAATTAAACTCTTGGTATAAAGAATTGAGACAACAGACCTAAAGAATCATTGAAATGTGGGGGAAGCACACTTTGTGTAGGACCTTAAGGGTTTTACAAGATGCTTTCCTACACCTCATCTCTGTTTCTCCATCCTGACTGCACTTTAGAATCATCTGGGGAACTCCCTGGATGCGGGGGCCCTCTCCAGACAATTCAGTCTGAATCTCCTAGTTTGGAGCTACTTCTTAAAAGTGTCCCTACCCCACCCTGTGATTCTAGTGCGTAGTCAGGAGTGAGAACCCCCAGGAAAAATAACTTTCCTCTCCTCACTGGGCTACAAAAACCTTAAGGTGTTCTTTATCCTGCACAGTAGTGAGTTTCGGAAAAGTTAAGTAACAATTTCGTCCCTTGCAGGTAAATGGCCCTCACTAAAAGCAAAAATCTGGGGCTAGCAATCTGCCTCACAAAAACAGAAAGGAGTCCGTTACTAGTGGTTTCATTTAAATAAGGAATTCTTCCGGCCCTTTGAGATACTGCTTTTTAAAATTCTGATTAATGTATCGATCAGCAGCCTCTGCGGCTTAGCTCTCCTGGTCTGGGGTTTCTCCTGAATGAAAAGCACCAAGATTCTCTAGTGAGCAAACGTTCTCTGGGGTGCAGTCCGAGGCTGGAATGCGGAGGTCGGCAAGTCGGACCCCGCTTCGGGGGTTTCCGGGAAGGAAGGGGACCCCCTGTGAGCCCGGCGACCCAGCTGCTGCCGGACCTCTGCCCAGAGGCCTTGGTCAGCCCATTCCGGGGTCTCCGGGCTTCTCGTGGCGCCACCTGCCGGGAGATGCCCAGAAGCTCGGGAGGCTGCCAGGGGTTTGCGCCGCTGTTCCGGGACCGCAGTGGGGGGGGGGGGGCCGGCTGGGCGTCCATGGCAACCGGGGCCGCGCGAGGATTTCCGCCGTTCACCGCCAGCCAATAGCAGTGGGCGTGACAGGGAGCCTGAGGCATCTGAGACGCCGGCGCTCATTGGACGGCCTCTGCTCCCGTCCCCTCAACCGCAGTGCGGCGGGCGGACCCGGGTGATGCAAGCTGTCCGGACGGCTTCTCTGGGAAAGGCGGGCGGGGCGCCGTTCTGCGGCCCTGAGGTGTCAGGGGAGGTGACTCGTGGATCGGACTTGAGGCCGGAGAGGAAGTGCCGGTCGCGGCGGTGGCCCCGAGAGCTTTACCCCAACTGCCCCGCCTCTCCGCCGCACTTGGCTTGCTGCAGCCGGCGTCCCTGAGGCCTCTCCAGCCGGGTCCTCCATGCGTCCTTGGGACGTGCACATGGTCGCTGGCCCGGTGCGTGAGGCAGTTTTGCTTTGCTGTTTCAAATGCAAAAGGCAGTTGATGACAGGGGCTAAGTAATGCCCATTTTGGCAGCTGGGCAACCAGTGCGTCCTTGGCAGATAGACTCTGACACTTCGTATTCCCACTCCCCCACCTCTGAGAAAAAATTAATTTTCTTTTGCATTGAACAACTATGATTTAGAAATGTTGGAAAAGGCAAACAGTAATATATGAAACATATTAAAATGTGAAAATACAAAATGCAGAAGTATGTGGGAGCCCATCACTGATCATCCAGAGATAGCCAAGTAGACATTGTTGTGTATGACCTTTAACCACACGGACAGTTTTTTCTTCGACAAAGCTAGGATCATACCAGCCCTTGCCTTGTGGTGCTTTTTTCCACTCAGCAATACATCGGATTTCCCCATTGTCGGTGAATAATGAATACTCAGCATCGTGGTTGCTACTGGCGACTGTGTCCGTCGCATAATTTACCACCAGTGCCCTAACTGCTGGTGACTAGGATTAGTTAGGCTGTGATCATCACCACTGTGTGACTACTTTTGCACACCTGTGTGCCTTTAGGACCGATCCCTTAAGTGGGGGGAGGTTGCTAGTGAAAAGGAGGGGCTGAGAGAACAAGGTCCTTACCTCCCATGGGGACTGGCCTTTTGGGGGGAAGGTTTAGCAGCTCCTTAGTGCCCTGTGAGGCCTTTGATGTCCTCTGGGCTCCAGTCCTCCTTTATCCTCCTCCCTGAGCCCCCTCTTCATATGTGAGATGGGGAGGACAGATAGTCCCTTCACCCACACCTTGTTACAACAGTTGAGAAAATGGATGTGAACCGATGCTGGGAACTTTCCAGCCCTCTGCAAGGAACATCCTAGTTACTGTCACGGTTCCTATTTGTTGTGAGTTTGGTCAGAGCCTGTTTCCTCATCCTGTGGACTCCAGGTGCCCCAGGTAAAGAATCAGATGCGTCTGGTACAAGGCGTCCATGCTCACCATGTCTTGTCTGTTTTTAGGAAGAATGCTGTGGAGTTGGAACTCGCCAAGTGCAAGATGGACATGATGTCTCTGAACAGCCAGTTGCTGGATGCCATTCAGCAGAAACTGAACCTCTCGCAGCAGCTTGAGGCTTGGCAGGTAAGGAGAGCCCTGAGACCCAGGGTGAGGGAAGACGAGGCTCTGGGAGGAGTGGCTGAACCCAGGCAGAGCATAAGGAGAATTTGTCACTAGAGGGTCCCATGCACATGGGTGAGCAGTAACCTGCCTTCACCTGGTGCGATTCAGAGCCTGTGCTTCCCCAGTCCCCACGGAAGAAGGCCTGAGGATGCTGTCGAGAGTGGTGAACCCCAGGCTGTGCCATTTAGGGCTGGTCATCTCTGCTCTGTTTAAATTAGCTGGAAAGAAACAGCTGTTAACACAAAGGGCCCCGGAAGCCCTACATGGCGGGTCGAGAATTCACAGCCCGATGGATGTAGTTCCCCAGTCCTGGGGCCACCAGCAGCTGCTGCTCTTCCCTTTCTCGAAGGCCAGCTTCCTTTTTCCAAAGAGCACTACCTTGGGGGAAAATGAGTCAGTGTGTTCTCTCTAGGACCACCATTTTCAGAGTGCAGTCAGCCTGCTCTGTCCCAGCTCCAGCTTGGCTTCCCCTGGCCCAGGGTTGTACTTGCTTTTTGTTAAGGACAATTTCAGGATATGGGTGTAGCCTTTCGTGTCTCTCCCCACGAAAACCGAAGCCGACAGGTGAAGAGCGCCCCCCGCTGGCGGGCAGGTTAGCGGTGACCATCCCTCCAAGGGCCCAGCCGGCCCGCTCCCCGAGATGGTCCCTGGCTCCCGGGCTCTGGCCCCACCACCAGCTGGCCGGTCCCTGGCTCACCGCCCGTTCTTCTCTCTTCTCTCCCGGCTACAGTTTGCTTCCTCAGGGCTTTTTACTATCTGGCTCCTTTGGTTTCTGATCTAGTGGCCTTTCTCAGTTCCCGTATCAACAGCTTTAGTTGTACACCCCTCCTGCCTTTGAGGTGAGATCGAACCCCCGTTCCACCCACCGTGTCCCCCCGCTGCCATCGCCGTCCTGCCCCCGCCTTCCCGTGGCCCGCCGTGTTGTGTGTGCCCGCATCCGGTGTCATCTCTGCAGCGTGTGTCGTGCCATCCCCCGCAGCACGCCTCCCGCCACCGCCATGGCCCGTCTCGGACCGCCTCGGCCCTGGTTCTTCGGTGCTCCCTCCGCATCACTGGGCTCTTGTGCCCACAGAAGTACGGGCAGGTGTGGAATTCTAAGCGGTTCACACCTGCGTGCGTATGAAGTGCTCAAGCGATCTGTGTCGTGGGCTTTGCTCTGATGAATTTTAAGGTAGAGAAGAGGCAGTTGGCGGTGTGCCCGAAAAAGCCCTGGCGCTTTGGAAGGGTTTCTTTCGGAAGAGCCCTGTAACATTCCTAGTGCTGCAGGTAACAGGTTTTATGGAGCAGGTCCTAAGCGCATGGCGCTGTGCCCAGGATTTGGCACTGGGACCTTGGAGGTAGGGAGCGTGTCCCCTATTTCTGTGAGGGGGAAGAGAGGCGCTGGAAGGAAGCGGGGTGTGAGGAAAGAGAGGAGGAAGGCGGGAGAGCAGGACGTGAGCAAGGGAGGGAGCGGGAGGTCCACACCCCCTGCTCGCTACCTGGTGCAGACTACTGAAAGTCCCTTGGTTTCACACTAAAACCTACAGTGGCAGGAGCGTGGGTGTGAGCACAGGAGGGGATGGAGGGGGCAGCGGGGCGCCAGCCCCACTTCCTGCCCTTGTCAAGTGAGCGGCTGCCCGAGCGCAGCCCTCGCTGTCCCGCGCTCAAGCAGGACACAATCAGCCGACTCGCCCCAGGGGTTAAGCCAGGGTTTGGTGTCTTGACCAGGGCACCCCAGAGCCCACTGGGCTTAGGGGTGAAGGCATCAGGCAGATGCTTGTTATGTTCCTGCTGATGTTAACCAGACAGGGCTGGTTCTATAGCCAAAGCAGTAGCTTCCGTACTTTGTTAGCGGCAGATGCCTTTGCCGAGTGGGATCTTGTGCAGAGTCGGGATCTAACCACCAGAATGGAGAGAGGGCGGAGCTGCTGTGTCCAGAAGCCCCCCTGGGGGGTACAGCTGCTGTGCCGTGAGGCAGTCGGGGTGCGGGGGGCATTCTCTGGGCAACTTTACCAAATTGGGGAAAGGTGCTACCCCCGCGAGGAAGCCAGGGATGTGGGCCTGAGCAGGAGCAAGGCGGGCCCTGAAGACAGCGGTGCCCGCGGCCTGTGCGCCAGCGGAGGGTGCCGTGTGTGCTTGCCCGTGTCCTGGACGTGCGGGGCTGCCGTGGCCCCTGGGCACTCGCGGTGCAGGCTGCTAGGAACTTGAAGGGGGCTGACCCTTTGGAGCGGAGAGCCGGCAAGCAGAGGTCGCCCTAGGGCCCGGGGAGGGGTGCCAAGGGAAAGGGAGGCAGGGCAGAGAAGGCCGGCCACCGGCGAGGCCCGGGTGGAGACAGGCTTGCCCGTCTCTGGGCTTGTAGGGCCTCAGCGGGGGCGGGGTCAGCCAAGGAGCCGTTGGTGGCGAGGAGGAGGCCGGAGGCGGCGGTGTCGGCGGCTGCTGTGTGTCTACACTTGCTGCTTCCGCGGTCGGCCTGCCCCGGCTGCAGCCGTTCAGTCATCTCATCCCATCCTCACCCCGCGTCCTGCGGACACATCTGCCCCCGGGCCCCGGTCAGCAGCCCGCTCAGCCCCTCCGCTCTGCCCTCCGCAGGATGACATGCACAGGGTCATTGACCGGCAGCTGATGGACACGCACCTGAAGGAACGGAGCCGGCCTGCTGCCGCCCTGTCCAGGGCCCCCGGCGCGGGGCGTGCGGACGAGCCCGGCCCCGCCGAAGGCAAGCGGCTCTTCTCATTCTTCAGGAAAATTTAGGTCGGGAGGAGTCAGGCCAGCAAGGATGGGTGGACTAGAGGTGACTGAAACGGGGTGCGTGCGAGGGCCCAGCACACCATGCTTGCACACGAGGGCTCCCCTGGGCCAGCTCCGCGGCCGCACTGCCCACCCACACTGGGGCCGAGTCGTCCAGAAGGGCCCACGCGGCCTGTGACGGCGGCCCTCCCCTCAACAGAGGGACAGGTAGGAGCCCTGTCCCCACTACCAGGCCGCGCCTGGCCTGGGCTTCCCCCGGATCCACTGTTGAGCAGGGCTCAGGCTGCCTCCAGAGCGGCCCCTCGGGCTCTGCGGTGCAGACGCGGGGGGGTCACAGCCCGCCCTGCCCACCCCTCGGTGGCTCCCGCGCCCCACCCCAGGCACTGCTGCCCTCCTGTTTGGGAATACGGGGAACAGAAGGAATGGAGGCCACCTCCGCAGGCCTCCGGAGGCTGTCGCGGCCCCCAGCGGGCCTAAGCTGCAGTGGGGGGGCGGGGGGGCGGCCTAGTCCTCCGGGACAGCAGGCCTCGCCCCCAGTCTTTGGCCCACGGAGGAAGGGGAGGCGGCTCCTCCCCCACGTGCATGCACCTCTGCCGGGAGCACTCTGCGGCAGGGGCGCAGCCTGCGGGGCCTGACGGGCTGCGGCTGTTCTCTTGCATTCGGCCACGATGGGCTTTACCCAAGCTTGGCTGTCACCATCCCAAGGTCAGGAGGAAGAAGGGCCCTGCCACCCCCCACCCCCCC